AGAAACTAACCTTTTTTCTCCTCCCCACCCTGGCCCCTGGAGGATGAGCTACCTGGCAGACTGTGAAGTGAAGGATGGAACGGAGGCCAGCAAAGATTATGTTGGCAGAACATGCTTGCCTTGGGGTATCCTCAATTTCTTTGTGTGACTCATTTGTCTTTACCAAAACTGGATGATGGCACATTTTCAACAGCATGCATTCAGGACTAGGAACTAAATTCATAAATTTAGTTAAATTAAATTGCTAAATTAAACCTCTAAATCCCTCTCTATTTGAGGACAGGGGGTCTTCAAAGTGTGACCAGAAATTAAGAGTTGTTAGGTTATTTGATAAAAAGCTCACCTCTGCACTAACTGTAGCACAGAGCAACAATGGCAAGCAGAGGAACCTCCATCCTTATGGGGAACTCAGAGAAACAGATCCCATGTCCCAGTGCCCCTCAGGACTGTCACAAAAGAGAACTGACACCCATCATTCAGGTTCAAGAGACGTTGAAGAGAAGAGTTGGAAGGGACCTACAACGATCGTCTAGTCCAACTGCCTGACCACTCCAGGAATGACCAAAAGCTAAAGCATGTCATTAAGGGCATTGTCCAAATGCCTCTTAAAACACTGACAGGCTTGGGGCATCGACCACCTCTCTAGGAAGCCTGTTCCAGGGTTTGGGCACCCTCTTGGTAATGAAACGTTTCCTAATATCAAGTTTCAACTCCCCTGACATTCAAGGACTCTTGAGATTGCACAAGACTTCTTATGGCATGTTTAGGGGACAAACCAAAGGCAGAGAAAGGGAGGGATCATGGTGGCTTGGAGAGAAACAAGTGTGGTTAAATAGAGGGCTAAGAAGACAAAAGGGGTCACTGGTGTAAACAGGTTGCTGGTCAGAACGCTTGTCTGGCCATGCCCTGCACCTGGTCATCACCTGCTGTCTTGATGCCTCCTTAGATTTCATTTCTAACTATTTTCCTGGATGAGGGGACTCTCTGTTTTGTGTTGATGTGATCGTATGGAGGTCTAAGTGTCAGCAACTGGAGTCAGACCATGGATTATAGGGCCTGCATATCAACAGTGGAGAGACTGGAGTGAGTAAAAACAAGTGCCAACAACTGCAGTGTGGATCATGGGTCATATGTGTCTGTGGTGCAAGCAACTGGACCAAGCCAGAGTAAAAATATCAAGCCAAACTAGGTAGAAAGGAGGTTAAGAGGCTTGGGAACAAGATGTGTCTCTGGGAGTGGGGCAATTGGAGAAGCTGGCTTCCAAAGGGACCAGGAGGTCTTTGCCAGCTGATGGAGAGGCTGTAAGATCTGAAGGTCAACTGAGAGACTGCATATGTGTGTGTTTCTGTGCGGGAGGCAACTGGGGAGGAGAACAAGGATCCAGGCTGGATGGACTGCATGTCTAAGCTATTGGGTAGTGTGTGCCCAGTTACTGGAGGGATCCACAGCATGCGTGTTCATGTGCCTCTGTGTGCAAGGAAATCTGTACCAGCAGCTGGAGTGGGACTGTGGGGTCTGGGGACTAGCATGCCCACATGTCAGCAACTGGGGAGACCTGGGATCCATGGCCAGTTACTGGATGAACTGTGTGTCTAAGCCTAGCTACTGAGAGCACCATAGTGCGTGTTTGTGAGCGAGGAGGTCTGTACCAGCATCTGGAGTGGGGTTACAGGCCCTGGGGACTCGTACGTCTAGGGTATAGCAGCAGGGGAGATCAGGGATCCAGGTACCACCAGATCCATAGTGCGTGTGCCCATGAGTGAGGTCTGTCCCAGCAACTGGAGTGGGATTGCAGATCTTGGGGGCTCATATGTCCAGGGTACAGCAGCAGGCGAGATCGGGGATCCAGGGATAAACTGAGTATCTAAGCTCAGCTACCGGAGGAATCCACATTATATATATCTGTATATATTTCCTACTAACAACGGACCTCCATCCTGAACAGCCAAAGGGCAACAAGATGAGGCTATTGGTGTTGTTTGTGTTTGTGTGAGTGCTGAGCATTTCTGTCTGTACTGATCTGTGTAGCTGTGCATGTGTGTCTGTGTACGTATGTGTTGCAGAAATGTGTTCGTATGTACATGCCTACTGGGAATACATGTTTAGTCTCACTACTGATTGGAGGTGGAGGCATGGAGCTGCAGCAGCCTTGCCTCTATCAGACTACAGGATGTGATAAACTCTAACAAGTTTGGAACCATGCTCTGCTCTCCTGGAGACAGAAACAGGAACATCCACCAGAAAAAAAAAACAACCACGACCAAGGGGATCCTGTATTGTCTCCTCACCAGGCAGAAGGCAGTAACTTAAAGGAAAGGAGTGAATGGAGCCAAGTCTACACTCAGGGCAGCAGGCACACACCCTCCTTGCCTACCTCGCCTTCCCAGGTGCCTCTATACAACAGGTATGATGTTCTGGATTTGGAAGTTCAGCAAACTGGTGATGTGGCTGGTGGTCCATCTACACCAAAGGTGTTGCCAAGATCAGAAAGGCCTACCCCCTGTATCATGACCACCACCACAAGCAAGAAAAGATGGGTTATAGTTGTAGGTGACTCCCTTCTGAGGGGAACAGAGGGTCCAATATGCCAGACAGACCCCCCTCCCAGGGAGGTCTGCTGTCTCCCTGAGGTCCGGGTTAAGGAAGGACATCGTAAGGAAACTTCCTAGCCTGATACAGTCCTCAAACTATTACCCATTACTGCTCTTCCACGTGGGTGGTGATGAAGCTGCAACACGTAGTCCAAGGGCAAGCAAAAGAGACTTCGGGGCCCTGGGACG